AACAATGCATCAATCAATAAAGATTTCCGCACCTAATAAGCCGCAGACAAGCGGGGGAATCGTGCGGAGAGGGTGCAGGGATGGCGGTCGGTGGGTCGGCGGGACCATCATTGACGCCGTTCACCAATTAAAGGCCAATAGTTGCCATCTCCCCGCCGCCCGAAAGGTGTTAATCGAATTACGACCCGGGATCGCCTGCGACTTCGACTTCGGCCCGGCTTGCATAGCTGCACTCCCAATGGTGCATGCCACCGGGTGGAAGGGGGGATGCTGCCTCAGCTGCCTCCCTCCGTCCATGCTCAATGTCGTTGCCGGCATTTCCATATTTTCAAATTTGAATTTTCTATTCCGACGGAGTTGTCGTCGTCGGAGTTGCCTGTTGGTCGGCGGTTGGAGTTTGGAGTTTGGGGCAGGATACTCTGAAGAGCAGACATCGTTTATCAGGCAACACTTTGGACCCCAGCCCCTCCTCCCCCTCACACTCAGCTCGTAAAGAAAATTACACACATGTGTGGCTTTTTCTGGGGACAGGCTGAGGAGCAAGGGAGTCGAGGAGGAAACACACAGTCGCTTCGTTTGGCTGCCTGCGTAAAATTTGAAAACACGTTAATGTCTGGCTGCATTTGAGCAATTTTGTGGCGCGTTCTGTTTTGCCAGAAGATCTCGTCGTGTATGCGTCAGGATATGTTGCATGGTGGTAGGGGCAGGGGCAGGGGCAGGCAAAGGATTCCTAGGATATGAGCAATTAAGTTCTCCTAAGTCTCACCACTTTCTGGATGAAATCGTTTCAGATCGCAGAAACTTAACATTTAAATTAGCAAAGTCGTAATGCGACTTAATTAAAGGCTATCCATAGAATACCTTTATGGAAAGTTAACAAACTTGGTCTAAGAACTTGAAATGTAGAACTTAAAGAGCTTCTTCCGGAAGTTTCGATATTCTGACTGTTTCAAAATGTGCTAAAGAGGCAACCTATCTAGTTAGCTAGTGTATGCGAATACGTGCAAGTGCAGTTCTCTTCTGTGGTCCGAATTTTGGAATCCGAAGCGAAGTGCTCTTTGTCTCTTTCTTTTTCTCTCTTTGCCTAATTTCTACACGCATTGGTGTAAATTGCTGATGGTGCGAACAGGACACACATATTGGTCCTTAGCATGATCTCTATGTAAAAGTAAGGGAGAGGAATACATTGAGCTTACAACTACATACATAGATATGTAAGTAAGTGTGGCTGTTCGTTACTCATGCTAGTGTGACCGCTCGCTACACTAGTTATTTAGAACGTAAACTTAAACTTACCATTGCTACTCCGATATATTCCCTCCTTTAAGTCTGCATGCGAGTTAAATTATAGATATAATAAAGGAAAGAAAGTTTACATTTCTCAAAACTATTATTATATCAAATGCTAACTCCTATTCAAATTAGGCTATGAATGCATTTTAAAAGCTGTTTCCAACATTCAGCTAAAGATTTCCTTTTCTAACCCCAGATCACATCCTGGTTTTGGTAGAGAGGTTGCGATGGCGTCTTAAGAACACCCTTTCAATCCATTTTCCTTGCCAGCTGCTCCGCAGATCGTCGCCTTGAGAAACTCCACGCGGCTGCTGTCACCACTGCAATTACGAAACAATTTCGACAGGCTGCGGCTGCGGCAGCAATCGGACGACTGGAAATGGAGCAGAGCCTGGCTTCTGGCTGTCAACAAAAGACGTCATGCAAAAAAGCGAAATATTTTGGGCATAGAATTATGCAGATGCAGATGCAGACAGGGGTGGGGAGGGAGGTGCCGCAACAGTTCAATGCCAGAGCGAGCTCGTTGCTTGCCGGAAAGAAACCCTCGCACACGAGTTTCCAACACCTTTCGGGAACTCACGCTTCATTTGCATGTAACCATGACACGAAGTCGGAGTCGGTGGAGGAGGAGGAGGAGGTGGAGGCGGAGAAAGCGACACATGGAGCGGAGACCGCATAGACCACCGAGAGCGAAGAGTCCTACAGCTCCCGTTCCTGCTCCTGCGGCTGAGTGACAACCGCAGGGTAAGACCGCATATATCAGAAATAATAATAACCAGCAATGCAGGGCGTTTTGAGTGCGGGAGGGGGGCGAGGGGGAGCGTTGGGCGCCAAACCCAAACTCAATTGAGTGCCTCCCGCCCTGCCTTCGCTGGGTTTTGGATGCGGTTGGATGGGGTTCTGGCTTGGGTGGTGTCTACACAATCGAATCATGGCAAATATTTCCAAATGCGAGATGTGCGGAAAGTGCTAACGACGCAGCTGCATATTTTGTCAACTGTGAATGGGGGCAAAGGACGAAGGAGCCTGAGGAAGGAGTCCTAACGAATGTGTCGAGCGGTGTCTGCTGCGATGGTTGTCGTTGCCACAAAGGTGATAAGCAATTGGCGTGGCTTTCCAAGGATTCCCGCTTCCCTGCAGCACTTGACTCCCGATAATTGCCGGTAAAGGCGGGGGCGGGACGCAATCAGCAGACAAACCAGGACTAATCAAGAGGCGATGGAACTGGCAGTGGCAGGACCTTGAGTCTGGCGAGGTCCCAACTGGGTTTCCATTTGCATCTGGCTTGGACTCGGCACTTGCCTTTGTTTACTAATTATAATTTAATTTGTTTATTCCGCGCCGGGAAAATTCAATTTTCACTTTCCCTTTGTGCTAGAGCTGTTTGTCATTCGACTTTTCTATTTGCATAAGTCGCGGAAAGTTAACTTCTCGCAGGGAGAAAAATGCGAGCAAATATTTATGCAAATCCGGGACAGAACTTGAGTAGTTGCTACTCCCCAGTTTGAGGCACTTCCTCCGCATGCATCAAAAGTATATCAGGGCATCGGGAGGGCTCAGGAGAGCTCAGGAGGGCACTCCTTATCCCAAGACAAATGACCAGTCGCGATCATCAACAAGTTCATCAGCGGGCGCCATAAACGTTTGTTGATTACCCGCAGCCTTGCCACACTTTTTCGTGCCACCTCGGCGAGTGGAAGAGAAAAAAGTGCGGATGGAGCACTGCAAGTTATTTGCATTCACTGGGGGATCTGTTACACTCCAAGGGCAACGCGCTTTCCCCCGCTTTCCTTCTCTATTTCTCTCGTTCTCCCTTTCTCTAGTCCCGTTTATGGTCCGTTCGCTTGTGGCGAAAGATGAAAGTGTTTGGCAGCCGTCGCCGTTGGCAAATGGGGCAGGCCACCTCCTCCAGCTCCTCCTTGGCTAACTCGCATTAAGTCCACACCTGCCCGGGCATCATCATCGTCATCTTCTCCTGCTGCCCCAGAGAGAAAAAAGGGAAAATGGGGATAAAAATGGAGCTGCTCGCAAAATGGAATAGAATTGCAGATTCATTTCACTCAGCGGGGGAATAGTTGGCCAGGTGTGTGGTAGGGGGTGGCATAACCTTTTAGCTGGCTTATATTTGCCTTAGCCAAAGGAAAAGGTCAAAGGGCAAATCTGTTGCCGGCTCCCAATTCCCAGGGCGACCGCAGATTGGATTGCAGGGCAGGGCGGGGAAGCCCATTCGGAAGTCATCTAAGCAACGGCTTATTAACCCACTGAGTCCCAAATGGGTAAACTAGAATGTGGCCAAATGGGACGAATGTGGAAATTCCTGGCATTGTTCGTCCTTCCAATCCGCTTAAATCAATTAAAATTTGATTTCAACGCAAATTTACTTTTAATGGAGAGTGGAGAGTGGAGAGTGGAGAGTAGAGAGTAGAGCGCGGAGAGTGCACAGGGCTGATGCGGCCTAATTAATTATTTATTAAAATTTCTGCAAAGCTGACTGCATCATAAAACTGCATTATTTGTCCAAGCCCTTGGAGCGCTTTAAATTCCCTTTCATTCGGATGAGAATGCCGTCCTCTGTATACCCTTTTTATCTAATAGAATTTTATGTTTAAGAAGTCATCCATTTCTAGACTTCTTTAAACAAATTAAACAGGTTAAGAAAGTGAAATTAAGCCATTTAATACTTAAATAAGTGCCGAAATTTGGTATTAAGTAATATCTCAGTTCATAAAAGGGTATAAGAATGTTGGTAATGTCTTAATATTGGATTAAATTGAACATCAACTGGATGTAAGTCGATCCTGCTATGATGTACTTTATAATTTATGAATTTTTATATTATTATTTATTTTAAGATTTTGGAAACAATTTAGCTATTCAAGGGACATATTTTCTTCGCTGAAAGAAAAGCTTGTTTTCGCTTTTCCCTTCAAGAAAAATTTGATTTGTCTTTTCTCGAGATTTTTGCAACTCTCTCCCCGCCTGCCCCTAGACTCTCTTTGGCCTCCGGCAAGCTACTGTAGCAGCTTTTCCCCATTTTCCTTTTATTTTTTCGCTTTTCTGGCTGTGTCTTCTGTATCTTTGTCTTGACGCCTTGCCTAGCGGCAAAGTTTGTCGCGTCTCCAAGTTCCGCATCCTGCGTCCTGCTTGCCTCGTCTTTGGTCCTGCGGGTGTCCTGGTGGCTCCTACTGGCTCACAATAAACCACTTTACAGCTACTAGTTTCAGTTCCTTTCCTATTTTTTATTTTTCGCAAACGAAATTGAATTAAAATTTACATTTTTAATCATTTTCCACGCTCTGACTTTAATTCATCCATCTCGCTAGTCTCAGGAGCAGCGCAATTCATTTGTCATACGCTCTCTGTCCCTGTCCCTGTCCCTGTCTCTGCTTCTGTCTCTGTCTCATTCGCTTTTAATTAGTGTGAAAAGCACAAATTATTCTCCGCCCTGCCGCCCACCGCCACCAAGTCGTAATTGGCTTACAACGACTGATAATTATTATATGCAGGCATTATATTTACAGTTATTATCGCGCTGCTTATGCTCAACCTGTTGGCTGCATCGATTGGCTTTTCTCGGAGCTTTTCCACTGCTTTTCCTTCTGTTTTTCGAGTCTGATGCAATGGTTCTATGAGTTTTCAAATGGGTCTTAACACTATATATTTAGAGGTGTCCGATTTCCATTCAGTCTTCTCGACGCAGCCCAGCCTGAAGTGTCTCTTCTTGGGTCATCTTAATCGGTTTCTCAGGAGAAAGGACATCAAGCGGCCATAGAGACAGCCCCAAAAGTGTTTTCCCCGGAACTTGCAGAGTTTGGCATTACTCATTCGTTGCACATTCGTGGCCAGGACGCACTCACTTAGTTAAATATGTAAGTGAGATTTCAATTACACTCGTTTTGTTAATTGATTACATCGGCCTTCTGATCCCCTTGGCTCGCTTTGCCATCCGTCACAGGGCCACTAAAACTTGGCAATGTGGAACGGAAAAGCCTTGCCGATTCTCTAGAGAATGTTTGCATTGTTTGTTGTTAATGTTGTTAACACACACACACACACACACACACACACAAGCGCACAAGTTAGTTAATAAATTTAACGTTGATGAGCCAGGGAAGAGTGCAAATTGGCCATCAATCGGGGACCGAGGCATGCTAAAGGGCCTGGCCCTAAGTAGGCCTCAACTGAGGAACTGCGGAACTGCCGACTGGACAAACTGACAAACTGACAAACTGACAAACTGACAGGCGGAGGCTGGCCCTATTATTGTTCCTGTTGTTGTAGTTTGTAGGGGGCGGCGGCTTCCCTCGTGAGCGCAAATTAAATGCAAATTCAATTAATTTGAAGCAAACAATTTGCTTAAATTAATTAATTGAATGTGAATCTAAAGTGCTTCCAATTTAACGCTGAAGAGCTCGGTTCCACCAGTGGCTCCACTGTGGGGGAGGGCGAGTGGTGGATGAGGGGGCTTAGGGTTCGCTCTGTGTGTGTGTGAGCTCGGCATTTATTGAAATTATCGACGGGGAAAGGGGCGTGGCAGTGGACCAGGGTGCTGCGGCTAGCCGCAAACTTTGGCAACGTTGCGTATGCGTAATTCTGCATTTGCTTTGCGTTTCGGCCCGACATCGGGCACTAAGCAAACTGTTCACTTCAAAATCAACTCGAAAATAAACAGCAGCAGCCAAAATGCAAATACGGCTGGCTCTCTGTATTAGTGAGTTTTCGCGGCGATTCGAGATGGTCTCGTGCTTTAGATCGATTTTCTTTTATATGCTTTCCACTAATGGGAGTTATCATTACTATTAAATATGACAACATTAATAGCTAGCCTTTTAAATTAAGAAATATATTGTACCTATATACATTTATATATGTATACAATCAACCCATATTAACCGACCATTCTTTCGTTATTGATTGACCCAGTTTAGAGCTTTCCAAATAGATGAGTTCCAGTTTGTATAACATTTGTATACATTTTAATTGTTGTTTTTGCACTGTTTTCATATGTTATTTATGACTTTTTATCGCATAGCAAGCACTTTTTCATCATTCAGCAGATATCTTTATGGTTCTAAATAGCCAAATAGCGATTAACCATAAACCAATATTAAAACTGGAGAGGCGCACATGAAGTTCATTCTCATTTCAACAAGTTGGTTTGGCTTAAACATAAATAAATTTAGAATCACCATAAAACTGAGACTTGTTAAAGTAGTTAAATTCTTATAAGTCAGTATACTAATCAATGGAAATCATAGTTAACTATTTTTATGGTCACATTTGTCTTGCTTTTGATCAATATCAATATTGATAACATTATAATAGCTAATATTTCAAATAAACTTAATCAGAAAATTGGATTACTTAAATATAATTCAGACAAAATACTAAGATAATAACATATCGCCACTTCCGGCTCACGCTTGCATCTCCAGTCGCAGCCGCAGCAATTTTTGGTACCTCTCTCTCTCTGTCCCAAATGGCTTTCAACGGTTAACCGGCAACAGGGCAGCAACAACAACTACAACGACAACTACAACTACTGTCGAATGTCGATGGCTAACAGCCATTACAGCCCTGATACACCCCCTCGGAAGTTCCAGTCTAACCACCGCCCCTATTGGCAGTTTGAATGTTGTTTGCATTTTATATTTGCCAAGTTTTTATCGCTCGTTATTCACGTTGTTGGGATTCGATTTTTGACCAAAAGTATGGGAGCTGCGGCAAAATTATGCGCTTGATTAATATGCGAGTTCGATGCGAGTATGCCACGCCCCATGAGCGAGCGGGCTGCCCCCAAAAACGCATAACTGTTTATTTTGATAGTTTAATGCGTGTGCGAGTAGGCGGCTGTTTATTTGCTTTTGGCCCGGCTGCTGTTGTTGTTATTGTTTGGCCAGCAAATACACACCAAAATGGCAAATTTGCGCATTGCCAAAGTCAACGAATTGTAAATGATTATAATTTTCTTTTATGTTTACGCAGTTCGAGGTAATTTAAGTACGGTCAAAGCAAAAGAGCAAATTGATCAACATTATTTCGGCCAATTGCAGGGGAAACCAGATCGAGTTGGGAATCACCTCAATCCTTTCCCGGCAGCCATTTCCATGATTAATCATCTCATTGAGCCCACGAAGCACACTTGGCATTTGACAAAATCCCAGCCAAAAAACAGATTTTCACTTTCGCTGGACAGTGAACAATACATAAACCCAAAGTCTGGCCAACAACAGAGCGGGCCGAGCGATAATAAATTTTAAATCATTTGTCATTTGACGCATTTCGGTTAACAAGCAACTTCGACTCGGCGGCGACCCTTGGAGCAAATAATGCAGAGACAAAGCCAAAGACAATGGTACCGATAAATATCATTTGTTTGCCTTTGCCTTTGCCTTTGCTTGGGTCTGGGCATGGGCCTGGGACCCAAAAGACCAGGCCAACAGCATCTTGGGTCAGTTTTTTGGGTCGAGGCATGGATAGTTTGCCTTTTTTATTTCCCGACCCGCAATCTATTGACAAATGCCTGTGCCCCAGCTTTAATTGCCACAAGCTACCCTCTCGTCTAATAGATTTTATCGTTCCCAATTCAATATACATAATTCTTGGGTGAGCTTCGAGGGAAACAACACAACGCTGGCTGATTAAGTCGCGGGAAGTGCAACTTCGAACAGAGCTTGGTTCTTGAATTCCCCAACTGAGTAGCGTGGCAGATAGCAGCCCCTTCGATTGTTCGTTCTATAACCTCTTATTGTTTTCTGTGTACGCCTTATTGCTTATTGATAATTACAAAAATATAAACGAATAGGAAAGCTCTGGGGAAGTGTATGTTGAATTCCTCAAGAAACCATAAATAATTTGTTGCTTTTGGTTGAAAGTGCCTCGTAAATAATCTTCGGCTTGCCGTTGAATGCTTTTCAGCTGAGTACAGGAAGTACCTGGTAATACATATGCTAATCTGCAAATCCAAGTTATTAGTTTGAAGACTCACCTGAAAAGAGACAAGGGAAGAGTTCGATAAGTTAAGGTTAAGAACTGAACATCTTAGATCTAAGCCCCGATCACTCCCATGTCAAGTGCTATACATCAGAGGGCTTCCTTTCACTGGAATGCCTTCTCCTCCAGGGAACCCTGGAACAACCTAACAACAAACACTGCTGGCCATAAACAGTTATTGCGGCTGTCATGTTCGAGCCATATGCCAATTAATGCTTGGCTCACGCACCGAGGGGCAGGAAACCGGAGCCTAAGTTTGGCAACTAACTGCATCCAGGCCCGAATGCCACACAGGCGACAAATATGGCCAAAATGCCAGCAGACTTCCACCGCAGCTGCGCCAACTTTTGCGTCAAGGCAATAAAGGCCGCATCTAAAGCAATAATGGCTCATTACGCGACCTGCTGATGAGGAGAGCCAAAGCAGCGGATCCGGGTGGACCCCGGCTGCCCATATCGCGGCAATGAAATCGTTATGCCCCGCACCCCTCCCCCGCTTATTAAATGCGCGCATGCGCAGCGGGGCAGAGGCGCTGCCAGCAGCTACGAGCTAAGAGCTGCAACTGCAACTGGCCAGGCAACTGCATCGCAGATCGCCAGGAGATTGGCCCACGACGACGACCGCAAGTTGCTTGGCATTTGACCAACTACCTGGGCTAGCTGCCTCCAACTGGCCAATAATATTTATTTATTTGGGCTTCGAACGAAACACTAACCTGCATATCCTGCACTTTGGCCAGGGAAAGTTATTAAAAATTATACATCCTAATCATTATATCTTTATCTTCTTGTGTACTTAACTTTATGGAGGCAACAGCATAGGAAATAATGATGTTGACTATTTCACAATAAATTAACAAAGAACATCTTAAAGTTATCCCTTATTTTGAAGGCCATCGAATTCATATGGAAATCTCTTGTTTTAAAAACAGGAAGTGTAGAATATATCTGACTGGACTTTGTTCTTCTAAAGTTTGTCTAATAGGGAGATTATTATTTGGAATTAAAAATATGTCTACATGGGATGACTAAGCAGTTATACATCTCAGTATCTACAAAGTCCGGATGTACTTGAATTTCTTCCCAGATGCGGTTAGTGAATCTCAAAATATTTGATATTAGAAAAGAAACTGATGCCAACGCACTTTAAATAGTAAGAGGGTAATATCAAAGCCTTGCTTTGAATGACATCATTGAAATAAGTTGTAATGCATTGTGGCAATAAGTGTGATCCCACAACTTGCCACTCCGGTTTCGGTTTCGTGCTGCAGACTGTGATCGGGTAAATGCTTCACACTCGACTTGACCCTTGCGTGGCCCGCTGGCCGATCTCCCAAGGCTTGCGGTTTCCAAAACCCCTCTCCGCACCCAAAATAGCTGGGCACCTTCTAATGTTGCTAATTTCCTAACAGAGATTTGATCCGCGCGATTGCCACCACTGCGGTGGATGGACGGGGAGGCGGGGACTCCGTGGGCAGCTGCGTGTGTTGGCGTTTCCTCGGAGTCGGCTTTGGATTTGGGTATCGTTGGGTAATTGGTATATCAATTGTTCGCCTCCATTGTTCGGCTAGCGAATGGCGAAATTTACGAGTTTGTCCGTTTGGAAATTTGCCTTATATGCCGGGCTACGTGGAGTTCCATTTGCAATGCAAATAAATGGCCAATGGAGAACGAACGCCTTCGATGGCGACTGCTCCGGTTTTCCCTGGCCCGTGCACTATATGTATATAGAATATATATTTATAGTTGATGTGGAATCTTGGTTTGGGCCATTGGAATTGAATGATTACCGGCGATGACCGAGAACAAAGAACCGGGCCATAAATGACGCCAATAACCATTTTGGGTGTGTGGTCGGGAGGGGGAGCTATAAAGTT